CCATCCAATCAGGGCTCCATCCAATCAGGGCTCCATCCAATCAGGGCTCCATCCAATCAGGGCTCCATCCAATCAGGGCTCCATCCAATCAGGGCTCCATCCAATCAGGGCTCCATCCAATCAGGGCTCCATCCAATCAGGGCTCCATCCAATCAGGGCTCCAATCCCGCCACAAACTGTTTGCCAACGATAAAATTTGTGGTCACCGGGAAAAGGACACTCTGTAGGTTATTGCATTACGTAATAAACTGCTGACCACAAAGTTCCTCTGTGGAGTAAGGAATATGGCTGCTACTTGGTTTCGGAGACTTGCGCAACTTCTCAAGGCTTATTATTAAAGCATATAAGGATGGAGAGGCAAATGTGTTAGAATAAACTGATAGAGCACGAGTAACATTTTAAAGAAAATAATTGGAACAAAATCGTCATTATTCACCGAATCAAAATATGGCGTCCAATTTGAATTACCATTGTTTTCTTCATGTGGATTATTTTCTTCATGTGAATTACCATTGTTTTCTTCATGTGGAAAACACAAAAGGATTATGACATATGTGAGAGGCTAGTAAGTCCAGAACAATGGCAATTCAAATTGGACGCCATATTTCGATTTGGTGTATTTACCTGTTTTTTTTTTTTTTTTACTTCAGCTTGTTCACAAAATTCAAGCCGCACCAGGAAGGTAAGTGAAGCAGTTTATATATTGCAGCCCTTTACACACAAAAAAAATTTATGAAACTGATTATCTGCAAAGTTGGTTTAACTAACTTTGCAGATCAACTTTTTCATTTCCCGAGATAGATGTTAGCACAGTTACATTCTTAACCCTTTCGCTCCCAAGATCTCATTAGAAATTCTCCTAACTGTCTGCCCTAGAACCCTTATGATGTAAGTTCTGAGAATTTGGTAAAGGATCAACCGGTGATCTCTCAATTGATTTATTATTTCATTCTCATCTCTTGTCTGCTTGATATTTTATTGATATTGCAAGGAGAAATTCCGTCTTGGTTACTTATGGGAGCGAAAGGGTTCAAACATGTCTCTATCAATCAAATTTTTATTCTTCTTCAATTTTCCTTCATTTTTAGAGGGGAGGGCCTTGTTTTGTGGATCAAACATATTTTAAGTACTCACATGGCATATCTAATGACGGTAGGTTCCTTCTATGGACACAACTGATTCTTCTCTTCTTGTAAAAAGTTTGGTACAAGATGATTATTCGCAAGGTTTCATTAAGGACTTGGTCATTGGGTGCAGTGTTTTCCTTATTTTAAGCATGCCAGGCAAAAGAAATTTTCAATTTTAAAAGCAATCGTGTTACCTGTTTTCGTAGAGAATTCTTGAAGCGTCGTCCAACTTATTGGCTGTCTCATGACAGGAATTTAGACATGTTACATACAAATTGAGTCTAGTAATCTGATTCTTAAAAGAAGTAGACTACGAGAAGTCGCTCCTATCGGAAAAAGTCTGTCGAGCGAGTCAAAATAATGTAGCCAAAAAAAACTAATGTTAGTGTCCTATGTGGAAGTCTGGGAGCGAGGCGCCTACTTATCATGGGCCTCATTCCCAGAGATCTGCGCGGCGCGCTGAAATCAATGTTTTTTCGCCTGATTTTTTTGTTTCACTTGGGAGGTAGATTTCGCCGAAAAGGAGGGACTGCTTGTAGTCTAGAAGTTTTCCCGAGAAATTTGTTTCAGGAGTTGGCAACTTGAATATGTGGTCAAAGTTTGATTTCATTTGCTCAAAATTTAGGTACCAGACCTTGTGGATTCCCTTAGTGGATTATATGCCATGTTAGAATCACGTGTCAGTGTTTTCAGTAAATTGTGTAAACTACAAGGGCGGCTGGATCTAATGCTGTCGCAGGTATTGTGAGATACATTAACACGAAGTAGATTGTATTCTACATAAGAGGGATTGAGCACCGCGTTTTTTGTGAAACGTGAACGGTGAGGGTGACCACGTGAGCTTGTTTTTCCCGCCATTTTTTCACGTTTGCCAGTTGCGCTTTGCCGTTTCTACGTGAAAGTTCAAATGAATAAAGGCTGATAGTCTCGAAAGAAACTGTTTGGGGCTGCGTCGGTGGGGGTACCGAAATAATTTGAATATATCAACAAAGTTGAAATGGTAAATTGGCCACCGTAACGATTACAAAAGCTGACGTTTCGAGCGTTAGCCCTTCGTCGGAGCGAAACGAAGGGCTAACGCTCGAAACGTCAGCTTTTATAATCGTAACGGTGGCCAATTTACCATTTCAACTTTGTTGATATATTCAAATTACTACGTGAAAGTAACCTATTTCGCGTTTGCCGTCTACGTAAGATTTTCTTCACTTTTTTTCGCCCAGAGTAGGTGATTGCCGGATAACGGCACCAAAACTATTCTTTGTTAGTCATACAAGGGCGCCTTCAAATCCTACACGAAGGGCAAGCTGACGTTTACTGTTTCACGTTAATGCGGTACTAAATCTCGTGATAGGAGCTTGGATGGTGCAAAGGTTAGGGGCCATGGTCCCATTTGGGTAGAGTGACGCAGTGGTCAAACCTATGGCGTGCGTCAATGTGTCAATTTTGGCCAGTCAGCCATGCGCCCATTTACCATCACTTAGATTTTTCACCACTTTCCCCTCAAAATGTGGACGTTTCGTTGGCCGTTTCTGCTTTTTTTCCGCACGATCCTGTCTCTTGCCTTATTAATGAAAAGTCAGGGATGAGTACATGCACTTAAGCAAATTAAGTGTAGTTGTCATGATGCTAAACGCCAGCGATTTTTTGTGATATGTTTATGGCTTAGTTGTGCTGTCTGTGTAGATAATGTCGTACGGTGACCTGCTCCCAAGAGGCATAAATGATGAGTCAGTCTTTGATAGGAATTGCCGTCAGATCAGTTATTAACTGAAGAAACTTTTTACTCTGAATGTCTCTGGGAGAAAGGTTTAAAACTCTTGAGCGCATTTCTGTTAAATGTCGTGGAACCAAAACTAAAGTTATCACAACAACGAATCAGAACAAAGGTAAAAAAAAGCGCGGGAAAACGCGGTTGACCTAGTTGGGATTGGTTCGTTCTGATTGGTTTGGAAGATGGCGCGAGTTCTACGGACCAATTACATTGCGAGGTAGACGAAGACCTGGATTACTCTCTACACTCAATTGAAAACTGCTTCATTTATTTTATCGTAGTTGTTGTTGTAGTTGTTTTAATGGTAATGGTGTTCTTGTTCATTTATTCTTCAAAGGTGGACTCTCAGAGTCACAACAATCCAGAGGAAGAAGAGCACGTTGAACCTACTGTTGTGTACCAAGAAGAAGGTATGTTCTTTTCTACGATGACCTTAGAATCGTACCACATGTTCTTGATGGCTTTCTTTTTGTTTGCATGTTCACCCGAGGTTTGTTAGAAATCTCTATTTTATATTGTATACAAGGAGGGGGGGGGTACAGTTAAAACTGGATTAAGAACACCCAGGCTGAAATTTGGTAAAAAAAAAAGGAGCATATCTATAAGAACACATTCAGCCTGAAAATTGAAAATTGTTCTTATACATAAAAACTCTTCCCTTTTCAGTTTAATAGAACAAACAGTGTCTGTAGCTTTACTGTGGTATTGCATTAAGATCTCTGTATAAATCCTAGTAATTTCACTTGCTGTGTTTAGCAAATGTACAGCAACTGTATTTGGAATTAAAAGTCTTCTAATCACATGAAAAATATGCTCGGTTTTGCAATTTATTTTCTAATGTTGTGTGTGTTAAGTTTAATTTTCTCTCAAAGTTATGTATTTCATCATAGTTAGTAAATCCCTTGCATTTTTTTAGAAGTAAAAAATTAAGAACACTTGAGAACACTTTCAGGCTGATTTCACCTAAAATACCCGATATATAAGAACCCAATCAGCCTGAACCCCGAAAGTGGGTGTTCTTGTATGCGGGTTTTTACTGTACTGGGGTCTATTAGAAACCGCAAAACCGTAGAATAATATCCTCGAAAACCGCAAAACCGCTTAAAAAAACTCGATCAAAACCGAGAAACGCATGCAAAGCCGTACAGTGGTGACAAGTGGAGCGTAGAAGAGAAACCGAAACCCAAATAGGAACAACCGAAAACCACATGGGATGCAAAATCCGAAAACCGGAAGTCTTTTTGGTGAAAACCGAAAACTAATGCCGAAAGAGGGAAAATCTATAAACTGCAAAGAACACCGAAACCGAAAAACCAATCTGACAAATAGCCAAAACTGCAAAACCGAACACCCTAATGCCCCCCCTCCCCCTTTACAAGTTTTTGGATCAAATAACACAAGTTTTTATATTACATACATTGTGTGACACTTTGCTTCATGTAAATTTATATACAAATTTTTCACTTTTTTCTAGATTCAGACGAGGAACCCCTTGTACCTATCGAGGCTGAACACTCTGAGTCTGATGTGAGTTATCTGATTAATAACTTTAGTAAGGTAGAACGTGCGCTCGTATCATCCCAGTTTAGGGCAGCAGAACGCAACAATATCCAACGGCGTTGCTGTTTGGAACAGTGTGGACGGAAAGCAGAATTGACCGTACTTATCGATCAAGAGTTCATTGTGCTCTTAATTAGCGAACTTTTAAGTGAAACAGATTTATAAGTTGTCATAAAAGATAGTTTTGTGCCCGCCTTTTGCGATCGATACGATTCTCAGAAGCTTTAGATTGTATTTTGAAAACTAGAAAATTAAACAATGATGGAGTGATGAATCCCTTAGTGGATGATGTCACTTAAATTACGAGCGGACATTTTTTTTTTTTATCGCTTGCACTCTGCAACTTGCAAAATATCCGCGCGTATTTTCTGCTGAACCATTGGATATAAAGTACTTTTTGAACCAGCAAAACCGTAGAAGCTGAAATATTTTTTAGTTATTTTATAAAAGAAACACCTTAATAACGTGAATTTGAGAACCAAAGAATCTTCCTCTTTTGCTTCTTTGCGCATTTGTCGAGGCCACTCAGGTTTCTCTCGTGAACTGAAGCTCTGTCAGAACAATAAAGCTTGTGTGAAGTGACGGTCAGTAACCATGATTTTTTTCTTCTAGGAAAATTGGGATCAAGATGAAGAAGAGGAGGAATCGGAAGAAGATAGTGACAATGAAAATGAGATTGAGGTGGAAAATGAATCTGAAGACGATGAATCTGACGGTTGAATGTACAAATTCATGCAAACAGATCACATTGTAATTAGATTTTAACGAATAAATAATTGTTCATATATGAAACAAGTCAAATTTGTGTGGTAAAACTGCGAGGATGTAGGCGTCTGGAATTGTTTTGGTTTGCAGCTGCATAGTAAATTGAATCTTTTGAAAGTATAGGGAATATCTGAAAAGTGATGCAGGTATCGAGAAACGAAAGTAAACTACAAGGTTTTCGAAGTTGTGTTTATTTAATGAGAGCTGCACATCTGGAACGTTGCGGCTCATTCTTCGGAAATTTTTAAGCCGAAAACTGTGCAATCTCTTGGTTTGCATCTCTTTTTAACGCGCCTCCTATTTTGGCGGGGAGCTAGATCGTAGCGTGCGAGGGTCAGTTTGTGAAACACTGAGATGATCATCTGCTGGATACTCCCTACCTTTCTACTCAAACTGCTATGAAGAGGAAAGGAGAAGTCAAAGACGCTCGCAGTTTTCTGTTGGACATTTCTCTCGAAAGTGGCATAAACCAGTTGACTCAACATGGTAAGTTTGAAGTGCGTTTCTCCTTGTTTCAGTGAGTACAGTTGCTTTTAAATCAGATCTTGTCTAAGGCCTTTTCTCGATTCGTTTTTCCTCTAGTGTTGGGCATCCTGGCGCCAAAATTCGCAAGAATATAACTCTAAAAGCCGGTTGCTGTAGCTATTTCAACGGAAGGTGGGTGAGTAGATTAGTTATACGAAGGGCTGTACAGGGGGACGGAGAGGAGTGGTACTAGTCCAAGTTTTTACCCTGGAAAATTGGTATCTCTAGGTTTTGCCCCGTTGCAAGGTCGTCCATTATTTACTTCGTCCAATATCGACGAATTCGCCCAATAAATACAAGAAATTCACTCCTTCTCTTACTAAGGTTATTTAAGTTTGATCAGTAGATAAACTAAAAAGGGAGGGAGGGGGCTACATCCAGAGAGTTACATAAGCACTGACGAAGGGTTAGCGCTCGAAAAGTTAGCTTTGAAACTCTTTACGGTGGCCAATTTACATTATCAAATAAGTTGATGAAACCAAAATTGTCCGATAATCCCCCACCAACGCAGTACCACAGTTTCTTTAGAAACTTACCCCCTTATTCCTTTTGTTACCAGTTCGCCTCCTAATTCTTTGACTCGTTTCTTAAGGGCAGACCGTGTTCCTTTTCTGACGAATCCACTATTTTCAGATCTTATCTAAGACTGCCATTTTTGCCTTCCCTCTATGAAGGAACACCAATTAAAGTAACGGAAGGAGTTAAGGATTTGTGGGTAAACTGGTGAAGGCGGTTGAGCAAACGCGTTGTGAATAGGGGGTTGATCTGGTTGGGGGCGAGTTTGCAATGGGGTACTACTAAAAGAGAGTGTAACGAAATCCTGCATAAGCAGCTTTCTCGGAGGTCGGCATGATGAGTCAGTCTTTGATAGGAATTGCCGTCAGATCAGTTATTAACTGAAGACAGCTTAAACTCTGACCCTCTCTGAGCGAGCAAACCATCTTGTTTACCCTTTCGCTTCAGTGAGTGATCCGACAAATTTCTCGTGTACTGTTACAAGGTCAGAACATTTTTAAAAACAAGGGTGATGATGAGAAAGAGAACTACCAACTAAGAGAGATTCTTTGATTTAATATCAAATTCTCAGAGCTTTATTTATAGGAAATGTATGAAAGCCAGTACAGAGCATTGATATTTGCATCTTGGGAGTGAAAGGGTTAATGTGGGTTGTGTCTGCAAGTGTTTGGTTTAATTAATCAATAAAGATTTTCACCCACACTCTTGTATCTAATATCAGGCACATTTTATGCAATCATCGTTTGCTGTCTTGTTTTCAGACGCGAAAGTGAAACAATCTAAGAGGGCTGCTGTGCACATCAATGCAAGGTAACGTAATTTTTAAGTGAATTCATTTTTACATAGCCTTTTAGTTAATAAAATAGCGAAAGGCGCAACAGTTGAGGATGGGTGAAAAAGCGAGAGAGGCATGGGTCGGGTCAGGAACATTACGCAACCCGACACAGACCTCCCTCGATTTCTTAGTCTTCCGCTACTAACGCGTTTTGTTTTACAGCCTGAATTCCTGAAACAGGCTAATTTCTACAATGAATGCATAACATGTGTGTTGATTTGATGAATATGACCTTGACGTTGAGTTTGCTAAATCACCTCTGGAGACAACTGATGATTCAGTTTGTTTTTGATAGGAATTGCCGTCAGATCAGTTATTAACTGAAGACACCCTTGACTCTGAATGTCTCCAGGGAACGAACTTTAACCTTGGAGTCGATGATGTGTTTTAAAAGTCTTACACTTTTATTCGCTGTTTTTGTTGCAGATTTTCAGCCGAGGATCTGGCTGGAATGCTGGAATGGAGAACAAACACTCAAGGCGTGATGCATAGTTAAAAAAAGACAAAAGGCAAAACAAAAACAAGTTAACTCTCAACGATTTTTATCCACGAACCAAAAAATCTTATAGGAATCTAGTAGAAAACTTGTCAATAAAGAAAGCCAACTGATACGACATCATATCATATGGCGTTTGGAACTCCTCAGTACTTGTTCCAAGGCTCCTCTGTCTCAAAAAAAAGAAAGAAAGGAAGAGAGATCCTGGGATTTAGATGGCTGGAAGCGAAAATAGCTAGATTCATTTCAAAAACCTTTGAAAATCGAATTTGTTTTGTTTGGTGTCATCTTTGCCTTGAGCTTGATCAGTGAACTATACCTGTGCATGAAAGTTTTTTATTAAAAGTCGGTAGCTAAGAAACTGCGCACCCATTCCTTCTCTAACCAACATTATCCCAACTTGTTATCAGTTGGCTGATGTTTTGCTCAGACATGGATCCAAAGCTTTGGTAGGTGCTTTAGGAGTTGTCCATCCCGTGTTCAAAGTGGCATCACGTGTTTGTCTCTGTTTAGAATGTTCCCTGCAAAGCTGCATTTTACCGGTAAAGCTCTTAAAGGGTTAAGTTAATCTTTTTCGTTGCCACTCTTAGGAACACAAGATTAGTATGTACCTTGTGAAATGTGGGTTTCTCGTATCCTACTTGAGGAGCCATCCGCAATTGTAAGAAGATTTCAAACAACATAAAGAAATAGAGAATTGTTCTAGGGACTAAAGCAGTAGAAACAAAAAAATAACCAGACTGTTTCTAATCAAAACTGTAATATGATTAACTTTTACGCGAAGAATTAAAATAGTAGATGAGGTAACCCCTAAACCCCAATAGGGATAACCATGTAATTTCTTCAAATAGAATCCCTTCCCTCTCTCCTCTCTCCCTTCCCCCCCTTCTCTCCCCTCCCCCTCAACCTACCGGTACAGTTTAGTGCTGTGATATTTGCAGTGTTTCGTTCCCTCGGACGTTGAAAATCGTCTTAGCGACCTCTTACCCCCCCCCTCCCCGAATCAAAGATTAACGTAATGTAAATAAGAATGAAGGAAATTATTGTGAAATCAAGAAGCTCTTGATTGTTCAGCAAATTCTCCTTGTAACAACCATTGGAAACGTGTAGAGAACAGTGCGGAGAACTCGCATAACGATATTAGGGTGTAAAGGGTGAACCTGCGCATGAGGATGTGTGGTTGTGGAATCAAAAGTGATCATTGAAATATCACATCGGTGAAGTTTACAAGTTAAGACTCATTTTTTAAAGAATTTCTGGTATTTCACTTTTTTGCGGAGAAATTTTTGACTTGTTCTCCTTTGAAACCGCTTTTTTTTTTCTGTGGCTCTTTCTTAAGAAATGACCGCTTTATTCACTGCATTTTAATCTTGATGTACTCGCACTTCATCACGGGATTTTTATGCTCTTCAGTACGTGCCAATTATTTAATTAGATACACCTGAGGCACTTCTAACCTCATGGAGTAGTTGAAGTTGCCATCATCAAGAACGTTACGCCTTCCTATAAAAATGCTCTACAGGGTGTGCGCAAGTTGGTACGTGAGAGGTTGAATGGGGTCACGTCAAGGTATGACCGCAAAACCCCGAGGTGATATTCGTAAACTTGATATTGTGTTACCTTTGAACATTATGCAACTTTGTTTAATTTCTATTCTGTTGCATTTTTTTTATATCGTTCCAAAATAACGTGATTTCACCTGACCTTTTGAATGTACGAAGTCCTATTGTGCAGCTGTTTTTTTTTTTCAACTGAGACTTTTTTCCAATGATAAAAACACTTGCTTTTAAATTCTTATTGATGGGAAGAAAGAAGTTTTCGTCGAGGGATATTTCTTCATCGAACCACGCTAACAGAAAAAAAAAATGGTTTTTAAGCACAGATCCAATTTGTATCGTTTAACACAGGAAATTGGATGAAGCAAGTAATAAGATTACATCAAAAACTGAATTTTACTTAAAAGTACATTTTTTGTTTATGTCAAGAGGATATTATGTAATCTGCTACTTACAAGAGATAAGCTGAAGGAGTGGCCAGTTGAAGTAGCAGTGAGTAACGTAATGTTTACGCCAATATGGTTTTCACCTGACGTGTTTTTTTCCCACCTTTGGGCAGCCATAACTTTTACCTTTTGCACTTTGCATCTGCCACTCAATTGTCCCCATGCGGTTGGGTTGGGTTATGGGTAGAGGGAGCGGTGGCAGGTGAAAATTCCAGACTTGTCCCTGATGACGGAAAAGGATAAATTAGTAATATTCACTCGAGTTAAAAAAATTCGCAGTTTCTAGAGTCATAGGCTGTAGCTGCCAGCTGCTTTATCGTAAATCCCGAGAGCGTCTTCTTCCCTGAGTAGATAATATCGGTATCCAAATGAGAAGAATCGAGGAGAAAATGGATTCAAAGGGCTTGTATTTCTTTACTTTATTTCTATCAACTGTGAACTGCAACCATTTTCCCTTTCGATTTTCCCTCCTAGGAGGGGTAGGGATAGGGTAAATTGTGTTATGCCAGCAATCACAACATTCGTCACGGGGTGTCTCTCAGTCTAAGATGTACATTCCCGGTTTAAAAATTTGTACAGAACAAACAGCTCTTTGAACTGTAAAAACGCTGTAAACACCATTAGCACTTTAACATTACCAGGAAAGAATTGTCCTATAGCGAAACAGAATGCCCTTTACCGGTACTTGCCTCGGAAATTTTCGTGTAGTGACAATAAAACTTGTACAAATTTGGTCTAAAGGTAACTTTCAATTCCCTGATATACGACACCATGGCTTCTTTCCGGCTCAGACGAATCTTATTGGTTGAAAGAAATCAGGAGAGCAAAGAACAACTTACCAAGATCACGAGCTCTAAGAACGCGTTCATCGAGATATTTTAGGATGTAAAATAGTGAAGCTTGTTTGTGGACTTTGCATGACACTGATCGGGTTTGAACGCCTCTTTGATTGTTCGGGCTCTAGTCATTTTAACGTGTATGGACGAGTTTAGTTGTTTGTAGCGCACTGTGAGTAAATATCAACACGTACAATTTACTTACGGGTGTCATTGTATGGAGATCACCATTCAGACAGATTCACTAACGCAACAATGGTGCTGTTTTTGTTTTTCGTTGTTTTCCTGGCAGATACTGTTGAAGGTAAGTAATGAAACTGTTATCCTTTTTAGTAACTTTATCAAGTGTTATCGTCTTCATAGCTGGTAGTAAATTGCTGAAGAGCTCACTGGAGTAAATGATTACCTGTAGCTATAGATCATAGAATTCTACAAACAATGGACCTCCCCACTTGAGATTCAACCGCTTTTGTCAGCAGTTTCTAATCTGTTATAGAAGCTAAAGACTAAGGGTTCTGCCTTGTCTGAAGCATTCACTGTCAGTGCAGCTTCATAATTTCTTCAAGGAAGAGAAGTTCGTTTAAAAACTATTGCTAGTTACACAGAATGGTCCCCGCAAGGTTTCACTTTCTTTATTTAGAACTGAGCCGGTCATGTGGTCTTCCAACTGTCTAGTTGTTAACGGGAAATTTTCCGGGATCAGCCCTTATTGGTCCTCGAGTTAAAAAGCGTTTACTTAATTTTACCTGATTTATTTTTGTCTCTAAATCGTCAAATCGCATTTGCACGCTTTTCTTTCGTCTGTAATGCACTCACTGAGTGCTGTGGTACCTGACTAGATGTTCTTTGCCCCCTAGCCACTGAATCTCGAGTTTGATTAGAAAGGCACTGTTAATTTAAAGGGGGAGAGATCTTAGAGAAGTGGATGGAGACTCGTTCAATAGACCTTTGTTTGGTATCAACTTTGTGGACCATCTGTAAATTGGAATATAAATTAGGAAAAAACATACAAACATAGGTTAATTGACCACTGCCCATAGGGGCTTTTCAGGGCCAACACTCACCCAGGGGAGGACATCCACCGCACAGTAATCTTATGTGCGGGAAATTAACATCTCCTACCTCTAACCCTGCAGGAGAGGGGACCAACAGTTTATTCATCCTCATCCAAGACTAAAATATCTATCCATTTCTTGATTATAGAAAGGTAGCAAATTAAATTCTCCTGACTTATTTTAAGACGATGAGTATTGGTCCGGCTAGGGCTCAAACCCATGACCTCCCACATGACACAATCCGGCGCTCTAACCAATTGAGCTAACCGGGAGGTTACATCTTGGACTGAGTGTGTTTCCAAGGATTACTTCCTTTAACCAACCTATTTTTAATTATATTTAATTTAGACAATTACCATGTAACTAAAATGTAAAACATGAATTTTATTTGAAGGTGTGAGATCCCCTGAGAGGCCAGTTGTCCCAAATGTCACAGCCATTAGCTCAACTGAAGTGCGTGTCACGTGGTGTCGAGTGAACTCTAACAAAGTTGAAATAGATCATTATGAGCTGTTTATTGACAGCCAGCTGGAGTACTCAGGGTTAGATGTGTTGTACATGGCAAAACGTTTAAAACCATGGTCATGGTATGAAGTCAAGTTAAGGGCATGTGGCTTCTCCCCAGGTTCATGTTCTCCTTTCTCAATTCCTGCTTTAGTGAAGACGTTAAGAGACAGTAAGTGACCCATGATTTTTTCAATACTCCAGTGGTGGATCCAGGGGGAGGGTCCGGGGGGTCTAGACCCCCCCCACCAGAGCTGACGCTTACAACTTTGAGACTGAAACTCTTACGTCAACAGGATTGTATATCACTTTTTAACTGGCTGATTTTNNNNGATAATAGCTGAGGTACCAGCAGAAGTAGACAATGAGGTGGTAAGACTCACATCTAAGAGTCCTTCTACCTTTTACAGACCTGAGCGAACTGCAGTTTAACTCACAAGATCTCATAAAATAATGATATACTCCATTAGAAACAGTGATTATGACAAGCACCAGACCAGTGTTGCCACTGTTTGAACCCTTTTCCTGTTGTTCTGATAAAAATGTTTGTCCATTTTTTTTAAAATCCTCAATTTATGTGCTACTTGAAGTAAGATGAAATAAGGACAAAATATTTCACTCATTTTACTTCCTTTGAATTGATTTTAAACATTTTTTTTTCTTTCACTCTTTAGGAGACAACAGTACAGTAATACAGTCTGGCGTTACTTTGTTTAAAGTCATCTTTGTCCCAACATACATGTTCATCTTAGGGGTGATTGCAGGAGTGTTGGCCATTTCCTTCATTCTGGCATGGAGGTATTGTATGTGAGCTCATTGAATCCCCTAACTCCCAGAAGTGATTAACATGTAACTTCTCCCTATTATATCCATATATTATCTAGCAAACAGGTAATGAGAATATTCAAACTTGGAAGAAGTTGTTATCTTGATCTAACACTAAATTCTTGTTACTAATTTTCAAGAAAATGAATTCTAGCTAGAGGGGAGTATTCACAATCAGACCTTTGGAATTAAAGAGTTAATAAAAGAGCTCAATATATGGAATTGTTTTCTTTCCTTTGTAATTGTGAGCCAGTGAATGAAGATTACACAAAAACAGAATATTCAGCCAGCACTTTGTTTCACAGATACCTTCAGAGTGTTGATTTGTCGGGAGGATCAGCATTTGAGTTGCCGCAATACCATAAATTGCCAAACAAGGATGACTACCAAACCCTCTTCCTAGAAAATATACCAGATGCCGAGAACAATCCTCTGGAGAACTTGGAAAACACTATGTATTTGACAAAGGCTTGTCAAGTTGATGACAAAGATTCTCATTATCTTGAAATATCCAGCTCTGGGAAGGCTGATGTTCAGAGTAGTTTCATCGCAACCACAACTCGCAATGCTAAACCATCTGGTCTGTATTTTGTGGGGACTGTACAGGAGAACCCGGTTCCCCATCAAGATGTTAGAGATCGGTTATACAGCCATCAACTTGATTACTACAACTGCAGCAGCCACGTTAATTCCAAAGATAAAAAATATGTTCAGATCGAAAATCGTAAAGATGTGAATTATGAAAGTCACAATGAATTATGTGAAAAACTACCACAAAATTGCAAGAATGATGGAGCAGTTAAAGATCGGGAAAGAACTAAAAGTTTACCAAATGTTGCTGATACTTTAGTGCCATCCATTCCAACAAAGAAAGCTCAATCACTTGAAAATTTGCATGCCTCCCTTAAAGGCAACAGTTCACATCCACCATTATTGATACAATCATCTCCATTAAGTGTACAATCTCAATTCAATGAACAAAAAGCTAGGACAGAAGTGACAAGGGAGTCTTCTTTACATTCTCATAACGGGATGGTTGTAGCAATAGACAATAGCAATATATACATTGGTGCACAGGAGTGTGCGAGCATGGTGAATCCAGGCGCTCGCAAGAGACATATTCGAGTCAAGCTACAGAATCTTGTTAGAATTCTTGAAAAAGAAAGGACTAAAACAAGAGGCTTTGCTTGTGGATCTAGCCCACCTGCAACTGAACATGTCTGGGAAGTTTACAGGTATTGACATCTGAATGGTGAAGAGTTTCTATACTTAAGGACTTTGAAACTTACGAAACTACCTGATTAGTCAAATTAGTCCTTTTTGCCTCCTCTGACATTTCACCCTAGTTTCTGAAAGAAATTTTTTTCTTTTTTTTTCTACAAACAGACGCATGGGATATACTGTTGATCTTGAGGAGAGAAGGGGAAAAGATGAGCAGAGAGTAGATGAAGGACTTCACTTGTGGATCTACAAGGTTAGTATTTATTTTAAACATAAAAATTATTCAAATTTGATCAACACTAAAGCTGTTTTGAGTGATGAATTTGGAATTTGGAAAGAGTTAACTCGCTTACTACTAATCATTTGTGACTAATGTATTCCCTTCTTGATATACACTTCACAAAATAACCCATAGTGCTTGCAGGCTGCTAATATTAAGACAGTGTTACAAATGCAATAACATTAAATATTACAAAATATCAGCTTAACTAGTTTTTAAGAAATTTAGCATTGGAATAAGATAGCTTTGAGCACTCTGTGAATAAGAAGACTGTTGCAGTTGTGCTTTAGACTTCTAACAGGACATGCAAGCACAGGTGATGGTTGTGAGAGACTAGCTATAAAAGAGTATCCAAAACTCTAATTTGATTTTACTAATGAAAGTTTTGTACTATTCAGGCCCTTTGTGAACTGGCCCCAGGGATACTAGTATTAGCCACAGGAGATGGGATGAAAGGCAAGTCAGAGTGTGACACCAGTTTCCCCAGATGTGCCGTCACTGCTCTGGAGAGGGGATGGAGTGTTGAAGTATACTCATGGAAACACAGCTTGAGTAGTGAGTGGATTAAACTGGCTAAAAAGTACCCCGAGGCACTGACAATCAACTACTTAGACAAGTAAGATTTGTGTAATGCTAATGAGTGTAGAGAATATTTGTCGAAAGCCTTTGTATACAAATGTCACAAATTCATGGCACCCACCTTTAAAAAAAAAGTCAACAACTCTTCCTCAACATAATAAACAGAAATCTTGTAATTCATTTCTTGAAGGGTTGCTTGAAAGCCCCCTCTTCCCCCAAGACAATAGGGACCTTAAGAAACCATGACAGCGACGGCAATGAGGACGTGGAAAAACAAGAGATCTAATTGGCATAACAATAGCTCAGCACATGCGTTTCGAAACTTTGTACATTTCTTAGCCGTCCTATGCAAAACAACAACGTGAAATCGCCAAAATTTGTGTCGTCTGCAAACCGAAACCGCGACAGCAAATTATTTTAATTTCCATTTGGACCTCAACGGCCACTTTAAACGTCATGCTGAAGTTGAGCTGTGGCGCTATATGAGACAGTAAGCTCCTGGAGCCATTTTTGAAATTCTAACTAAGAGTAGAAATTCATTTTTTAATCGAAGTCTTCCTTGGTGTTGCCATCCTGACTGCTTAAGGTCCCCAATATTGCCTGAAATTTGTGACCATTTTGTTAAAACCAGGGAACATTGAAATGAAAATGTTGAAAGCATCTTTCCCAAGGGAAAGATGCTTACAACATTGGGAGCAAGATCATTCTCAGCAGCAACTCCCCGATGAGTATGTTGGGAACATGGCAACGAGAAAAACACGAATAAATTAGTGGAATGAAAAGCATTCATTGATACCTGTGGGATTTAGACTGCCGGTTTGAAAGATGAGCTTTTGTTCAAGAGTTTTACGGCTTTCCGTGCTACCTAAGTGTAAGGAAAGACTGCAGATTGCCATATGTTGCCTAGAATGATGCAATTAAATATGTCCACTTGTAGTTTGGAGAACTATAGAACAGATTCATTTACTAATTATTTTAACTCAGTTAATTTGATGAAGGATTTTACTTTAATATTTTTTTTTTTTACATGTTCTCTTACAACTGCTGGTTTGTTTTTATTGACAGACATGTGAATTATATCACATTTGTGGATGGAAAATATGGAAGGAAACGTTTGCCACTTCCAGCATCAGAGGCATAATGATGTCATTCAAAGAAGTACAATAACACAAAGGAAGTAGGGGGGGGAGGAGAGGGGCAGACACAAGAATTTGGCAAACTTTAAGAAAGCCAATTTACATTGAAAAAACTTAATTTAAAAAGTAGTAATCGTGCAGCTAAGAGCAGATAAAAATACTAGCCACAACTCTCTCACCAATCTTATTAGAAAGCAAAATCACAAATTAAAAATCTTTATAAATTTTATGGGTATTAACATGTGCTTCCCCCCTGAATTACTGTCAAACCCACTTTGCATTAGTGAGATGCTTTCATAGAAGTGTGGTTTAAAGAGTAAAAATAAAATTTCAACTCAGACAAAGTGCCTGCATGTACTGGAGCTAGAAGACAGGTACTGCTGTTTTTTCACTTTTCAATTTCAAAAGACAAGATATTTTTTTTTAAATCACTTCGAGGTGTAAGTTTACTGTACAGATTGCATGTATTAGATGTTAACTTTTATTAATTACATGTAGCTCAAAGCAAACGTGTGAACCAGGAAGTAAATATAAGAATAAAAATTCAAAGTTCATCTGTCAGCATCATGCTGTTTGATTTTTGTTGTCAGTGTTACATAACTCAAAAGTAGTACAGTAAGTCTCTAAATTTTTTTGCACTGTTGAAGCCATCCCAGGCAAGCCAACAAGAGAACAGAAACAAACCAACAATGTACAGATATTTGAATTGCAGGATTAACCAGGCACTTGCTACATGAATTTGCTGTCATCATCATGAAATTGAGTTGGCGTGATGTCCTACACGATTTTACCGACATAACGATATTTAGATTTAGAAATTTGAAAGAAAAGAATGACTCAATACGGTAAAAAATGTGACTGGAGGAGTGAATATCGGATCTTAAAAGGGATTTGCAACTCTGTCCATAACGGTTTCCCACTAGGCTATTGCTGTGAACTCACTCAGCTGCACCTCACGAGTCCACAACATTTTGACCATGGTGATGACGAGTATTGTTGTCGATTTGAGTAGAGACCACACTAAACCACTGAAGATTTGTTAAATTGCTCTTTCTCCAACTTCTTTTAATTAATTGTGATTTGCTCCATTATTTAGTCAGATTTTCCAAGGAAAAAGTATACTACGTGTAAGGACTCTGTACAATTCCTCGACTACTTGGAATATTGAGATAAGAAACTTTCCTAATCAATAATTTAGCCTAAGCTACCTCATAAAATATTCTTATACATGAATGGATTACTTTCTAAAGAAATATCAAAGACACATGGTTGACCCACATTTCAAACTTGAAATGATAACCTACTGTAACTCAAATAACAAAAAGAAAATTTTCTCAGATTCTGTCTGTTAAAATACCCATGAACAGTACAGCAGCGTCTCCAAGGAATTGTTAATCAAAGCCTGAGGATTCAACCACTAGTGTAATGTTTTATTTAATGAAATTATCAATAATATTAATTCAAACAATGGCTAGTTACTGAGTTGCCTTGGATTTTTTAGCTTTGTTTTTTTCTGTTCTCCTATCTCTTTTCTTTAGATTGTCCATATTTGCTTTCAATACATTTGCATATGCCTGCAAAAAAAAAACAAATTTACATTATGATGCAGTATGAAACACAAATGATTATCTAAATCAGAAGCAATATTGTTATTATCCATGTGAATAAAAAACATCACATGGTTTGAAATTCGATCCAACTCACCATTTGAAACCTATTTACATCTTTTGAATTTACCTGTGAAGTAGAAAAACAAAGCATTAGTTAGACATAATGTAAGGCAGCATATATTTCAGCGATGGATTGCAATAGGCCATTTCTGAATTACGTTTGACCTCTTTTTCAAAACAAGGCCTGGTGCTCAACCATTCTTGTGAAAATGAGTTTAATTTGCAAGTGAATAAAGACTTTATCATAATTATGAAAGGATGAGCACCTGGACTCACTTTGAAAAAGAGGCTAAAGATAATTTGGAATTGGGCTATTTGAACTGTTTAACCCTTCAACTTCTCATGATTTATCTATTTATTTATTTATAACTTCTAATATCTATCTATCTAGTTGCTACAAATTTCCTTGTAAATTACTCACGTGAATTTGGCATTAGATCAAGGTTGCAACTTCAACCTGTTAAGTCTGAGTATTCTCATTACTTGTTTGCTGGACAATGTATGGATATGACGGGGAGAAGTTACATGTTAATCACTTCTGGGAGTTTAAAGGTTAACTAGCACAATAACCCATGCAGAATGTTGGGATGTAGTAGTTTAATGGTTGATGCCTGGACAACGGGGTAAGAGGTCTGCATTTGAGACATGGCAAGGCAAATTGTACCATATTCTTGGACAAGACAGTTTACTCTAACAGTGCTTCTCTCAGATCCATCCTGAGTTTCAATGGATACTGATGAATTGTTGTAGAAAGCTGATGAAATGCCTAGAGGTAAACTGAAATGGACTGGCATCCATCCAGGGGGGAGTGGTAATACTCCTGGCCGCTTCATGCTAAGGAAACTGGGATAAGCTCTGACTGGCTGGTTGGGCCACTTGGCTTGAGTTCAGACTTTACCTACTTATATAAGTGGATCTAGGGGAGGGGCAGGAGGGCCTGCACCCCCCTTATTTTGGGTAAATAAAAATAAATGCAGAGGGAAGAAAAGCCAGCAGGTATGACACACACAGACAAGCCCCCCCTCAGCTCAAGGTCTGGATCCACCACTGCTGTACTATTACACCCAAGTGCACAACAAAATAATCTGGACATTTTGATTATGAGTCCTGGCCTTACACCAACCACCAGACCAGTGTATCCCCCAGGAAATTATTTGAAACACTAATTCTTTGAGGATGCAATACATAGAGTTTATAGAATGGCCCCTATGGTCCCGGTGCCCTTATGATGAAAAACATAAAGAAATGCCCTTCTGATGGACGTACTTGATGGAAAGAGCATGGCAGAAAACTGTACAAATGCAAGCTGGAAAGAGTAAAGGAAGAAAACCAGAGAGCCATGGACTAACATGATTAGTAAAATGTTTACTGGCTGAGTGATGTTGGGCCAAACAGAAAAATATTTACCTCTCAATCATATGGTATGGAGAGTGAAAGGATTAATTATTAAATAGATGTCTGAGCTTACCACTGTACTGAGCTTCTTTTTTCCATTTGTTGCTCTAAATAAACATCTACTGTCTCCTTCTTGTTCAACGGCTGTCAACTTTTGAAGCTTTTTTCCTCCCCGTGGTTTTGGCTTTGGCTTGGTTTGTCCATAGTCTTTATAAAAATATGCAAAATAAATAAAAAAACAGACAAATGTGAAAGTGGATTTACAAGGTAGGTATGTTTAGGCATTTCACTCCAGAAGAAAAATTGAACATTCTTAGGTTTCTTCACTGCATGTGTCTTCAAAATTTAAGGAATGAGAAGGTATTTTGATTTTAAAACATTGTTACAAATTGAAGCCACATACCAAGTGGTACCTCAATGTGATGGTGGATAAAACCCTTGAATGTGACCATTCAAACAAAAGCTACTGGACTGAAGGGGGAAAGTGGCCCTATTGCATGATATGAGATCAAGTGGCTTTCATTTACATGACCAATAGAAATACAAAATTAAAACTGCGTACTGTGAATTTTTTGTTTTTGTTTTTTGCAATACCTTAACCTTTAATTTGTTTATCTGATTTTTCATAATGCATTACTTCTACTTTTTGATGTGTATGAAACATGCACAGGAGCTTCCTTTGCCCCTCTCACGCGGAGTAATTTCACGTGATCATTTCCATTGTAAATTGTATAGGGCACTTTTTGCCATTCTTGATACAAGTACAGACAGTGCTGCTGGTGTTAACATGTCGCAGTCTTGCTCACACATTCAAAGAATCATTTTATTTGACATCAATATTGTGGTAGAAAACAAATGAACAGTGGTTTTGTTCCACACTCACTTGGCTGCGCCTTGTGAGTCCACAACATTTTGACCACTGTGATAACAAATATTATTGTTTATAAGAGTACAGAGCTCACTAAACCACTGCCAATTTGTTAGTTTCACTTTTAAGTCTGTGGATTGAAACCTTATGTGACCATATCCCAGTTAGCTCAAGGGATAGAGCACTGGACTGTTGTGCGGGAGGTCGAGGGTTCAAGCCCTGGCCGGACCAACACTCAAGGTCTTAAAACAAGTGAGAAGAATATGCTACCTTTCTATATCAAGAAATGGTTAGATTCTCTAGTCTTCTCGGATGGGACGAATAAATGGAGGTCCCGTCTCCAGCAGGGTTAGGGGTAGGAGATGTTGATTTCCCACGCACGAGATTACTGTGTGATGGATGTCCTCCCCTGGGGTGGTTGCTGGGTGGGATTTGGCCCTGAAAAGCCCCCATTGGGAGTGGTCAATTAACATATGTATGTATGTATGTATGTAGGTGGAAGCTCCTGTGCAGGTTTCATACACATCAAAAGGTAGAAGTAATGCATTATGAAAAATCAGATATACAAATTAAAGGTTAAGGTATTGCAAAAAACAAAACTTTCACCACTAGGTGAAAGTTATTGGGCACTTTATTGGAGGTACATGTAGTGTTCATTCTATCATTAAGGTTGGTTCTAACTTTTAAGTCAGTGAAGAAAACCCTAAAAAGCAGTTCACTTCAGTGATACATGTTTTGTGTATTTGATCATGTATAGTATTCCGTGACATTATGGAGACAAAAACAGGTTAATAGACAGTACTAGTCTGTGCTTAGCTTAACTCATTAAGTTACATTAAAGGCAGTTTTTTTCAAAACTAAGTATTTCCACACGCTACGAACCTCCTCTACACCAGACGTGAACCTAGATTAACGGACAAAACCAACAAAACCTTAACTTACATCTTTTCATCGTGATATTAACTGTACCCGATGATCTTGTCTTTTGGAGAAGTAATGTGAGCTGGGTGAGGAACTAAAACAATAAAAAATTTAACTTGTAAAAGCCTAATATAAGACAGAAATTTCCATCCAATTCTGTTAAAAGAACAAATCTTACCCCATCATTATCCAATAGAACCATGCTATAATTCTTTCCTCTCACATGTGTGAATCAGAGCTAAGTGACCACGTCTTCTGCTTGCCAACCAGGCAAAAATTGCCTTCTGGCGTGTTGCCGCAGCCTTATCACGGGCTCATTTACTTAGGCTTTGCTTCCTTCTGATCAGGTCTTCGATCGAGCATCCAAACTTCTTAGAGACTAAAGCGAGATTTTAGCTATCCAGAATGAGCTCTTTCCATTTCACAAAGGTCCCACCAGATGATCAGATGTACACAGATATCAAGTCGCTCAATAAGTTCGAGGAAAAGCCGTTTTGTCAGCTGTTAGACATTGTGTTCTCATTTCTTGTATCACCGAAGGAAAGTTCAAGATTCATGTCCCAAGTTGCAGAATTCGCTGAGGAATATGGACTGGGAACTAATGCGCTCAAAAATGTTGTTAAAAGTTTGCTTAGCTTCTTCAAGAGTGCATTAAAAAGTAATTTAACACCGGCGCAAGTGAAAGAAGACTTGGAACATCTCGGTAAGTATGAGAAATAAGGACAGGCTGGTACCCCCTCCCCCTACTCCCATAGTATTGCGGGTACGAAGGGGGCTGGGGAAGGGTAATTGTCGGAGGCTTAGTAAACCTGAAAAGTACCATAATCCATGTTTGGTATCAAGTACTAGTTGCCCCTAACTTCCAATACCATCGAGGTAGTGAGAGAGGAGAGCAGCTGTCTCCTTTGTAGCAAGAAGGTCATCGGGATACTGATCGATGCCACAGGCCATCTCAAAGCACCTGCAAACATAACAGTAGCAAAGCAGTGTGTGGAATGAATACTTACCCAAAATTGGGTGAAAGAGGGATAAAGGGAGGGAAACAAAGCAAGCTAGAAAACATACATGGTAAAACCCCTATGAACCCTTCATGGACCCCCCCCAATTCCACTGGTGAAACATTTGCATAAACATCTCAAACCTAATGCCTGAATTACATAGAGCCTTATGAAACTGTTAGATTATATCAAGGTAGAACACTAGCTGATGCAGTTGATCATTTCTTATCACCTCTTTGCTGGGGTGAAGCAGTAACTGGCATTTCAGGGAGTTAACAGATTCAGAAGTTAGCCTGTTACATTAAAAGTGATGCCATTAAAAGATACACAGATGCAGCCTCATGTCAATGGAACATTTTTTTGCAGGTCTGTCAGGGGAGAATTCTCCTCACATGTCCAACCAATGGAAGGCAAACCTTGTTGCTCTGTCACGCTCTGTCGTTGGTCAAACCTTCATGGTGAACGAACTTGTCGACATGGAATGGAAGTTTGGGGTTACAGCTGGAAGTAGTGACTTAAAAGTTGTGGGACAAACATTTTTACAGTTGAAGATGGTTGTAGATCATGGTGGTGTACAAGAAGATGTTTTTATGGAAATGACTTTGCCACAGTTCTACTCTTTCTTGCACGAGATGGAGAAAGCTAAGTCTGCCCTTGAATATTTTAGTTGAGAAGATTAATGCCAGGTTTTTATAGCCTTTTAGCCCCAAAGAGTGATTAGCATCCTCTTTCCCCTTACAATATCACTGTTGAATCTAATTTTGTGGTCATAAGAAGAAAGGAAATGATTGCTAACTGAAGATCTTAATCTTTTTTTTAATCAAACAAATACTCCTTGACACAATCATGAGAAATGTAAAGAATCTGGTAGTGTCAGCTGACACGTTGGTCAATCTTACCAATGCATCGGCCAACACACCACCAATGCATCAGTAACATCAACCAACATGTCAGCCAATGCATTGGCTGTGTGTGTCAGTGGTGTGTCAGTAGTGTGTCCACTGGCATGTCAGTAAGATCGGATTCTTTACTTTTACCTAATATGCATAGAACAGAATGGAGAACGTGTGTAGTGCTCTTGTGGTCTAAGGGGTTTAATAACCTAGGGTGCATGTTCTGTGGTTCAATTTTTCTGCAGTTTCTCAATCTGATCTCCCTTGTTACACTATGGTAAGTCATGTACTTGAGTAGGTTCGACCAAAAATAAATGTGAAATGAACAAAAAAGAGAATTTGTTTCAAGGTTGAAAACTGATAGTTGCAAACTATATGCCAAGAAATTTTTATTTCTGAATCATATTTGAAGTGAAACATTCTAAAACTTAACTATGAAGCATTGTATATGTACTAGAAGCTAGATGACAAACATCAGGTGTTGCCATGATGGTTTTTCACAGACCTTCATACTTGTAGTTGATGAAAATGACACACACATTGCACTATAGTATATCAAAAACTGATTGTTTTGCAAAATTTCCTTTAAAAAATGGCTTTGAAAGTCCTTCAGCATATTCCACATGCACAAAGAAAAAGTAGCTTTGATTCTAAGATAATTTTTTAACAGACAAGTTTATAGTATATGCCAAGAACTGCATTTTTTTAGATCATGTACTCTTGTTATTTCTGTCACCTCCATGGTTTTTAATGTTAAGATTTATGTAAAAATAAAATTTTATCATTTTTCTCACACTGCAATCACTTCCAACATGGAAAGCAATGCTTTATGTTCATGTTGCCACAAATTCTAGCTTTTACAAGCAAATTCACTTTCCTTAATCATCATAGTTCAGAAAACCTTTTTTCATAACATATTGCAGCAACATGTTACCATCTTGTACTTGTCCTATATTACATTTTTCATTTTCACGAAAAACTTTTTATTCTTTGATATTCTAGCTTTGTCCACTTTATCTTTTTGTCCAACATGATCTATTTTCCTGCCTGTTGGAGTTCAGTAGCTGCCTTTGCTCTTCTCTATGTCTTGCAGCAAGTTTATTGTACTGCCTATAAATGTTGTTAAAAAATTCTGTGGTTAGCTTGTTCGTTTCTTGAATGAACTCGTGTCTTTGGATGATATGCCTTCTGGTTTCTTCATCTGCTACTGTGAATAAAGTAACAGAACATTTTGATCTTAATTGATTATTTTGAACCCAAAGCCTGAGCCCATCAGTCTTCTCTATGTCAGAGCAAACAGGGAGAAGCCCTCTACTTATGACTGATCTCTTAATTGGGAAGTCTTGGTTTGAGCCCTGTTTTGTTTTGGACAAAAGGCTTTCTCCCACAGTGTATTTCTTTCAAAAGTCTGTGATTCGATACCAGCAAACTGTCAAACCAATCAGATGACATATTAACAAGGCTTAACTCTTTAACTCCTAGAAGTGATTTACATATAACTTCTCCCTATAAAATCCAAACATAATGCAGTAAACAGGTAATGAGAATACTCAAACTTAATAGATAGGAGTTGTGATCTTGACTGAAAATCAAATTCTCATAACTCACTTACAGGGAAACTTGTAGCAGCTAGAGGGGAGAATTTATCATCAGAACTTAGGAGTTAAAGGGTGAACTTGTGTAGAAGTTCACCCTTTTCACTTCCAGGTGTGACAAAAATAGAATGTCTAGTGAAAGTGCTACTACTCTTCCAAGCAAAATCGTAATGAGACAAAATTGGAATTTAATGTGGAGGTGATGTTACAAAAATAGAAATTGAATTTCTCATATGGCACTACTTTTTCAAGCAAAACGAGGGGAAAAAATATCAAATGGGGGATAATTTTATGCCAATTTCTTAGAGATGAAATTATATTTAATCTTTGGAGTAAATGAGATAACATTTCTCAAGGTTATTGTACCTTGCCTCATATTGCGATCCTTCATCCATCTGCAGAATTCAAATATAACTCCACATATGATGGCACCAGCTAAAATTGCCGACAAGACAATCACATTGACTTTATAGGTGTGCTCTGAACTGTCAAACATTCCAGTTGCCATTTGTTCAGCTAATGAAGTTTTAGCTTGCTAAATGGAAATGATCCAAACGAAAAAAGTAATTAGCCCACTTCTCCATGTTGAGATGTAAGAATACCGGATTGAGAAGTGGTTTCAAAATAGGGTGAACTTCATAGGCAACTTTGAAAGGATCTATAAACTCTGTGATGTCGATATGCAAAGTTTCACGATTAGAGAAGTCAAGTGCAGGCAACTTTCACACATTATATCAGTACATATATCTTATTAACCAAGCGCGAGGGCCGTACTGGGAGAATATTGGCCCGAGGTCTTGACAGTAGGGACCGAGCGCAGCTTGGTCCGTACAAAAAAGACCTAGGGCCAATATTCTTCCTGTACAGTCCCGAGCAAGCTTGGTTAATAAGAGATTTATTACACGACTGAAGTTCACAGGGACACAAAAATGGTGTCATTCGGGACCATTCAGGACAGTGAGAGAATATTGACCAGCAATAGAGCATTTTGATTGGTTGATCTAAGTTATTGGCCCTCTGACTTCCCAAGTCATGTAATAATTCATTGTATTGTACATTACTCTTATCATAAAAAACTCTGATTGGTTGAGCATGTATAGTCAATATACAATAGCATGTGAAATCAACATGATAACTCAATATCTGCAGCAGATATTGAGTGATGTTGAGCTCAAAGTCTGCCTAGTTTCCAATCCCCTCATCTGAGTAGTGTTCTCAAACTTTTGCAACTCAGAGAGTAATGTCTCCTTTTGCAGATTCTTTAAAAATGTATAATTAAAGCAGTTATTGAATTTGGTTTTTGTATGATATTATGAATTATCAAACCTTAGATCTGTGTTATTTCCCAAGGCTTTCGAGGTCCAAGGTTTCAGCTTCAGCAGATAACTCAGCATTGATAATTCATGATATCATGCTCAACCTCATCTAATAATTTCTTTATGTTGTGCATTCATACTTGTAAAGTGGCTGTGTAATTCTTTACAAGGTGTGATAACATTGATTTTTCATTCTTGAGGTAGTCAAGGAAACAGGGTTGCAATCTAACAGAGTTTCCCCCCAAAACAATGCCAAATGATGAACGGTAGTTGATAAGCTGTGGAGAAAAAATAAAACGTTTTTTTAATTGTCAGCATGTGATGAGGAGTCTTCAAATTAGCCTTGTGTTTAGGAGTACTACTAAATATATATTTTGAGGGTTTACATTTTATGGGACCATAAATGAAATCAACTTGGTTAGGGGGTGGGAGCTGGATTCCGTATATTCACCCCATTCCCTAGGCTATCTGTGGTCCTAGGAAATTTTGCGATTTGGCTTACAATTAGTCATACTAAAACGTGCATTTAAGTTGTGTCTTTACCTTGTAGATTTGTAATGATTTGTCTTGAAACAAATCGTATCGTTCTGCCACTACGTAAGTATCAATTAAGGCTCCTTTGACCACTCCTTTCAATAGATCTTCTCTTATCTCCTCAAGATTGGTGTAGTTACGGGCTGTGGAAGGAAGAGTCCTTTCAGCTAGCTTAAAACAAATTATATTTGCTGCTACCACACATGTGCAGTTATAATCCAAGATATAATTTTGCTCGCGTACATTACATGACCGAATATACTCTAGCTTAAACTGGGAAATATCCGAGGATATACCTCAGGTGATATTCCCCAAGTGAAATTCCCTAAGTGAAATTCCCCAATTTTCAATCCTTATGTCCAAGAAGATGAAATAGTGTTTTGTGTTTGTTACAGGAAAAGGGACGTGTTTGTTTGTTCACTGTGTTTGTTTTGAACACTGAAAACTAAAACGTCCCTCGCAGTAAATGGTAACCTGTACGTAAATATTTCTTTCCCGCCCATTACAAAAATATTTTCACGATAGTAAACGCAATAGCCTCTCTTTGCGATCGGCGCGAAAACACGTGTAGATTTTTGTCCTGGGGCAATATCTGCTCCTCGAAGCTCACAGTTTTTCTCGAGCTTTGTTCTTGGAAACTCTCAGAACAAATAATGTCCGTAGACAAATATCCGCGCATATTTTCGTGTAAATAGTTTATATATGCGTGCACTTTGTAGAGGAAGGGGTTTTTAACTTATCCTACCTCAGTGAATTGGGAATTCTTCACAGTGAAATCTCACTGCCGGCATTGTTACCTGGACGGTTCTATTGGTTTCTCAATTAAGCCTCACTTAAGTTGCTTGTGAAGAAAACGTTTAAACCATGGAAGAATTATTTGAATACAATATTTACGAAGACTGATGGTGGCATCTGAATTCGATTTTTCTACCTCTATAACGAGAACAACTCGCACATAGAGGCCTATCGAGTTGGATACAATAGATTAACGGTGGCTCTTGTATGTGAAATGGGAAACCAACCATTATTAACTTGAGCATTTCTTTTCAATGCAAGATTATACTCAGGAGAGTCGTGTAGAGCAGCCACCTGCAAACAGATGTTGGTAACAAATATTAGTTATAAGCCAAAAAGTAAGGTAAAGTTCGCCATCTTGACAGGAAAACCTTGGTCTCAAGATCGAGAGACAAGACGAAAAAATTGCGCTTTATTGCGAGGTACCTTTACTTCGTGTTGATTGTCTTCAAGAAGTATAATTGCTGTGTTTTGCCTCGCTACCGCTGCAAGAACTTCCGCAAAAACTGCAAGCACAAAAATCTCCAATCCCAAAATAGATCTACTGCAAAACTTTTATTCCACAAGATACAAAATTTCTCACCTTCAATCCATAAAGTTTAATATGACTGTTATCAACAGTGATCACAGTCAGACCTGCTATTAAAGAGCTGGACAACAGGGAGAACACAACACTCCCAGTAATCATCCAAACCATGGTTAACCATTTGGCCAAGAATGAACGGGGTGTCCTGTCACCATATCTACAAATCACAATGGACAACTTATCAACAAATATAACTATTTCCTTTACCTGGGAATGAGCGAGAAAGAATTTTTTTTCTCAGTCTCACCCTACTGTAGAACACGTGACGAACGCCCACCATATGCCTTCCCAGAATCCTCTTAGGAACGAAGGTGGTAGTTCTGAATTTTGTGACCAGTCCTGAGATTACAACAACAACAACACCAGCTTTATTACCAAAAATAACAGTTAAACTTAATTCACAACGTAATCTAGTAAAACAGGAAAGGTAACATTTACTCAGAATAACTAAAGAGCTAATCGAGCTGAGTAAAACTAAGTAATGTTTAAGTATAGAAGGTAGGTTGGCACTAAAGCTTGAGCAAAGCAGTTAATAGTTCAATAAAAGGAAAAAAGAAAAAGAAATAAATAAATAAGAGAATAAATGAATAAATATGTACCAGCTGACTCATGAGCAGTACGACTGTAAGTTGTTAAACTTGACTTTGCTTTTAAACGTTTTAAGGGGGGGGGGTGTTGATAATGACGCGAGATCAGTTCAGACTTACAGATAGGTTGAGAGGTCTATCTTCACACAGACGAAATATCAAATATGGGGCATGAAACGAACGCGAACGCAGTGCAGAGGAACTTTGATATTTACCCCGCTGCGCGCTTGTTCACACGAGCTTGTTCCGCGTTTCGTCTATCAACTATGATAATTATTATTATAATGAATAAATTTGATAGTGTAACACAAAAAAAAAAAAACAAAACGGTTGTGGACATACTAAAAGAATGATAGAAATGATGTTATTGGAGGTGCTTGGTTGTAGCACGAGATAGCGAATCAATCTAACATATAACATAACATAACATTTATTCAGGAAGTTACAACGCAAATACAAAAAATAAATCCTGAAAAGGGAAAATCGTGAGGTTAGCCCTGTATAACAATTTCCCCAAATAAAAACATACAAAAGATAAAACGCTGTGTTTGTTTATATTGCTAAAAATGATTATAGGTTAAGTACTGTTCATCGGTGTTTCTCTCACCATTATCCAATATAGAAGTCCAGACGATAAGACAAACACAACAACCACAACAACAAGCGGCCAGCATTCAACCAATGCTTTTGTTATTAGTGCCTCCGGTTTCTCATATCGTATAATAAAGGCCGCCCCAGGGGACTCCACCACAGGAACATACTTGAAAGTTCTTAAATACTTCCGCTGATCAGAGGAACCGTGCACTGGAAAATGCAGATCTGTCACGTGATCAATTGCGGCTATCATGTCGCGTTCTGTGGGCTTCTTTGCAACGTTCCGCCTGCCATCCGAGTTGTAATCAACGTAAGAAGTTCCGTGCCCCCTCGAACAATTTGCACAACACTGGAAAACCATCTCGTCCAAGAAAGCCATGAAAATTCCGCTCATACTATTGGCAGAGGGGCTGATGACGTAAGGTGGTTTCGACCAATAGTTTGCAGTTAATCGCTTTTTACATCGACACGTCTCTGAGAAGAACAATGATGGAAATTTGTTGTGACTGAGAAAAATTGAAGGCTCATCGGGTTTTCGTAAAATGTATTGGGAAGAAAATTCGCTTCTTTAGAAGAAAGGACAAAGCTTTCCTAAAATTGAAAATAGTTGAGACATGTTTGAGAAATCACCGTCTACACCTAGCTTTTTTTACCAAGTTCTTAGCGGTTTAACAGCCCACGCATGACAGAGAACCTTCGAAACGACACGCTTACCATTTCCGAGCCCGCGAGCGCGTAAACACGGCCTTTAAGGTTAAGAGAAAGCCCTGAGAACGACTTGAGCGATTTTCCTTTGGATATTTACCTTCATATTTGACCTTGCAAAATTTTCCCTCTCCGCGCTTTGTGAGTCCGGCCACTCTGATGGCGTAAGTTGTAAAACTCAACACCTTATCCAAATCTATCGAGTGAGTGTCTGCTCCTACGCTTTTCGTCTTCGCTACCCCGTCAATAACTTTTACGCCGCCAATGCTGTCTGGTACGTACGATACCACATAGCCTTTCAGTTCTCCATTGACCTCGTCATCCGGGATATTCATCCACTGAACGAATAAGCGGTTTGTACTGGTTTGACCCAGGCTCGTGACATTTACTGGGGGAGCACTAGGGACTAAATGGCAAGAATGTCCAATGTCCGGTGGTTAGATGGGCTAACTCAAGAAATTTTGATAATTTGGAACTTTTTCACGAAGATTATCACCATTAGATAGGAAAAAACAATGAAATCAATTTTTGATTAGCGTAGACAGACAATAACAAAAGAAAAAAAGACACCACAAAAAAGAACAAGGATAGCCTTTTTGGTTGCAATCTTTAAGCTGAGAGGAGTTAAGAGTCAGAGAAGTGTTTGTGACGTAGGATGCCCGGGGGAATCTTTCGCAGAAAACTTCATTATTCAAAATTCTGATTCAAAAGAGAGTTCACTTACTTTCTTCGTTGCCAGAGTGAAGTCTGGGATATTTGGGAAAGGTAAGGGAGAAGGGGTCGCAGTCAAAATCCAGTTGTGATCGGGCTAAGAAGGCCTGGTGACCACAGTGCGTTGGAAAGACTTAACTCACCGCTTTCTGGCGTTGTGATGATGACAGCATGTGATGGATTTCCTTCGCTTTGGCCACTGGAAGCCTTGACTATTACTTCGTAAGACAAGTCAGGTTTCATCTCGGATAGAACCAATGATCGTTTGTCGATTCCATGTACGGTTAGAACACTCCAGTCTCCCTCTCTACCAATTACTCGATACTGGACCTTGAAACCCTGGTACAGCACGCTACTATTTGGGTTGACCGTAAATGACCATTTCAGCGAAATTAAATCGGATAACACTAACAGCGCTTGAACATTCTCTGGTCTTTCCTGGGACTCTGTAAGAAACATTATGGTGTAAAGCTGGCCTAATAAGAAGAAAAGGTTTTTCCTATCCACAGTAACCTGTACTACAGTTTATGAAGCTGTTTTGGTCCATCGTTAGGCCCAATTCGATTGGAATATTTAAAACGCAAATCTTAAGGTAACTCAATAAAAAAAAAATCGAAAACCTGACTCACAGGTAGGAAACGTGTATGATATGGTTGAGTGGCCAGTGGTCAGGAGAAATGCGCACGCTTTTTGGATAAATCACAAAGAAGAGTAGAATAAAACCGATGTAGTCCTTAAGATGTATTGACAAACAACGAAAAAAAATTCAAACTGAAACATAGTGTGGAGCGAAAACCTGCTAAAGGCACGCACCTATGGCCATTGGCCAACGTTGATCGTCACTCACCGATTTCCTTAGTAATGAACTGTACAGGCTCAGAAGAAACACTGTGTTTGCCATTTGAAGTTAAAACCATTACTTCAACTAGGTATGTTGTGAGTCGCGTTAGGTTTTGAAGAAACGCAGAAGTAGACCCAGCATCCGGGATATCCAGTTGTAAACGACTCGCACCACTCGTGTACGTCACTCTGTAGCCCGTGACAAATCCATCATTTACGCATGCTCCGTTATAAACCCATTCGATCGAGGCACTGGTGGCAGTGACGTCATGCACGCTTGGCTCCTGGGGAGGTTGACAATGAACTGGGAACGGAAAAGATGGGAAACATTATTTAAACATAACCGAGTGAAAAGATTAAACAGCAAAGAAATTTGATGTGATTTTTGTAACTCGTCACACACAATTCCTTATTATCACCGTTCAGTGGAACCAAAAGCTACCAAAGATAATGAAAATGAATCTCAATTCTCGAAAGATGGCCTTGGCTAACCAAAAACCTGTTAAAAGTGCGTTTCAAATTGCAATTGTTCAATCATGGGTTCCAAATTCACTCACAGATCTCCTTCTTAATGAACCGAATAGGCTTGGAAAAGACACTGTCTTTGCTATTTGAAGTTGACATCATTATTTCAACTTGGTATGTTATGTTTGGCATTAGGTTAGAATCTACTCACTGCTGTCATTTGTGATTAACTGTACAGGCTCAGAAAAAATGCTGTCTTTGCCATTTGAAGTTAACACCATTATTTTGACTTGGTATGTTGTGTTTGGCGTTAGGTTTTGAAGAAATACTGATGTAGACTCAGCATCCGGGATCTTCAGCTGTGAGCGGTCCGTATCACTCGTGTACGTCACTCTGTAGCCAGTGACAAAGCCAGCATTTACGCATGCTCCGTCGTAAACCAACTTAAGAGAGGCACCAGTGGCAGTGACGTTTCTCACAAGAAGATGCTTGGGAGGTGGACACGGAACTGAAAAGCAAAAGTAGGCATTCATTACTTAAGCACACACGAGTAGAAAGATGAAACAGCAAAGCATTTTGATGTGAATTTGCTAGCTCTTGAAACCGACGATTTTACGCGATTCCTCCTGGAACCAAAAGATATCAAAGAGAAATTTTGATACATCGAAAAAAATCAAAGTCAATTTTAGAATGGCAAACTTATCCGACCGAGTGAAACTTGCAGTCTTCCTGCGAGAAATGATAAATGATTCTTGCAAAAATTCGCTGGGGCAAAGAAAGCGTATTCAGATAAAATTGAAAATACGAAGATAAAAACATTGAAAACCTTCGTCGTTCACCACAGCACACTTCTTAAGTGATACCGGTCCTTTCCCTTTCTTGCTAAATGCTGTCACAGCGACGCAATAATTCTGGTACAAAGTCAGGTTTGACAAACTTGTGTTCCCACGAAGTGGGCTTGTCACAATTGCGATTTCTTCGCCATTTTCTCTGGTCACTTGCACATGATAACCGAGTACAATGCTATGAGCGTCACTGGAAGGGACACGTGACCAGGTTATTTGAAGGTCTGAGTGGTTAGTTGTTCGTACGAAAACGTGTTCTGGTGGAGAGCTGGGTACTAAAGAAGGAAGAAACAAAAAGTGATGACGCAGATTTCAGTTGGCTTTTAAAGATTGAATTGCATGCAGCTCTTTGTTATATGTTCCATTGATCTGATTGTGCGTTGTAATAAAGTTCTGTTTTAGTTTTACAACAACATGAGTAAAAAGTTGTTGTGCTTCGTCCTGTGGTTTTCTTGAAAATCATTTTGAATGGCAACGGAAGTCAGCTAACAATGAAGCAAACGCTATATCAGATTGGCTATGCAGTGAAATTGGCTCTAATCAGCGCACGCGTAAAGTACTATTCACCTGTGAGGTATAGTTCATTAAAAAATTTCACTAAAAAATATCTCATTCCAAACTTTTTCGGATATTCTCTAGTTTATCTTAGCGGGAGGATATTCGATCACGAGGCAAATTCGACCCTATCGCGCGTGAGCGGATAAAAGTGGCATTAGACCCCAAGTAGTCATGACGTAAGTATCAAAAGCGACTCAGAATTTACCATCTTCATCTGTTGTACACTCCACCGTGTCGTTGACACCAACACCTTTTCTTGTAAATCCTGCCACCCACAAGACGTATTTTTTGAACTTTTTCAGCCCATGGAGTTCAATAAAAGTAGAATTGCTGCTGGTGATGACAGATTGTTCCGCTCGAACAGCCCAAAATAGGAAGCAGTCAACTCTGTATCCTACAAGATCCCCATTGGTTTCATTCTCAGATATCGGACTCCAGTGTATAATGACAGATGTAGAACTTGTGTTGTATGCTGCAGTTATTTTCGGGGCTTGGCTGGGAACTTTGAAATAAAATCAAAACATTTTTTTGATTAAATTGTAATAAGTTGTGAGTCTATTCCCCCCCCAAGCTGGAACATATTCTAGTTTACTCCAGAGAGATAGCCCGTCTCACCCTTCAACCATCCCCCTAATTGCTTTTAACCTTTCTCTTACATTTCGCTGGCACCCATTCACCTGAATACAGAGAGGCACCCTACTTTTATAGATCTAAGATCTCGGACTGGATTAAGGTCTTCATCCAGACCAAACCGGCGTTGCGCCCGGGATTGCACCAGGGTTCCTGCTAGGAATCCCAGGGAAGTTTCGTCAGGACTGCGCGGCATTTCTATTTGGTCCCAATTGGACCACACCGGGATTTCGCCTGGTTCCCACCTGAATAACACGGGTTCCGACGGGACAATTTTTCAAGTACACCATGTCACTGTTAAAAATTTTGCGAATTCCATTCGGGACTGCTTCGGAATTCGAATCCCCCGCTAGTTGAATCTGCATTCAATGAATTTCAGTGTACCTTGCAACAGGCAGCTTTAAATGTCACGACATAAATAAAATGATGAATTATCACAGTTATTATTTTCCGAAACGCGCTGCAAAATAAATATGCAAACGTACCTGCCTCATCCGTGGAGATCCTGGCCTGGCCACTCAGCATCAGACCAAAAATAACAGTTGTCACTCGCACCACATAAACCGTAAAGGGCTTCAATCTTTTAATTTTGAGATTGTTCGTTGTCTTGGAAACTCCCATCTCTACTGCTGTTCTCTCACTTTCTTTCTCGGCCCAGTACTTAATACTGTAATTATTAACGTCCACAGAGAGTGGGTTCCAGTACACTTTTATCGCCTCTGCGCTTACATTGTGGCCACTGATATTAAAGTGTTGGTCTAAATCGAAGAAGGCAAAGCGAACGCAAATTGCATGGTCTAATTATACGTATAATTATTAAGTTGAAAAGAATAAGACAGATGGTAAGTTTTGAGCTCCGAAGAGAAATATAAAAAATGTTTTTTCGTCTAGTCACGAGCGCGGGACAAAGAAAAAAATTCTGAGTCCCCATGAGGAATAGAGCCTCAGACCTTCGGATTCCGCGCTTCGATGCTCTACCGCTGACCCACAGAGATTCATAGTGAGCAAGGCCCTTTACGAAGCTCATATTTGACATGCGTCCTGCATATAGCTAGGATCGGCAATGTCAATAGCGTCATGGTTTGTAAAGAATAAGAAAGATGGTAAGTTTTGAGCTTGGTATTGGGTTTTTAGCCCAGATTGCAATTGCCTATACCTGGTTAAACTGGTTTTGATCGAGAATTGGGATGTACTCTTTTCTTACGCCTTTGAATTCAAATGTCCCTCAAGCTTACCTTGCAGATCTTGGGTGCGAACAAGTACTTCTCTGCTAAATTCAGTGATAACTCCATCGTAAAAAGTAGCTACACAAACGTTATATTCAGTTGCTATCCTGAGGTCTGTAATCACATATGAAGTGGAACTAGCAGTGGCATTCTTTTCGACTCCGTTTCTGTTTTCTGTCCAGCGGACAATATAAAAAAGGCTTACATTTACAGCCTCCACAATTACTTGGTTCCAGTTCACTGTTATAGTTGTGGGACTTGTAGATTGTGCTGTCACGTTTTGTGGATGAGAGAGGGCTGGGGATGAAAATAATGATTATCACCGTCTACTCAAAGCGACAGGACAAAAATGTCTTTTGGAGCAAATTTCAGATGAGTGTCGAAAATTATTACGGGATTTCTTTAATTTTCTTTACTTCACCGTGTAATTGGTCGAGAAAGCTCACGCCAAGTTCTCAGCCAATCAGATTCAAATCTAAAACCAAGTACGAATTGGCCACTGGCGTTTTCTTGAAAATTTATTTACTCAAAGCTCAGCCTGTATCCCAAAATACTCTAGACTTTGTGTCTGCAAACGAAGTTGCTAGCTTGGCCACATCGAAATCTTTGCGCAAGAGGTTTGTAATGGTCAGAGAAGTTTACTTACGCCCTTTTTGTGTTATGACAATTACACTCTCGCTGTAATTTCCATCTCCAATAGTAAACGCAGACACTTGCACTTCATATGTCGTTTGAGGCTTTAACCCACTCAGCTCGATGTAGTTTGTGCCACTGCCAACAGATTCCGTAATCCAATCAAGAGCACTGATTCGCGCATACCCTTTGAAGCGAACTTTGTAACCTCGCAGAACACCGTGAACAAACTCTGGCTCCACTGGTATCCAGGTCACTCGTATTACTCCCGTTCCATTTGCAAAGGCGGTTACATTTCCTGGAGGGCGGCTCGGAGCTGGGAAACGAAAAAGTAAACCATAGACAATGATAAATAAAGTAACCTCCATAGTTGTGGTGAAGATTCAAGTTGAGTTAAGTTTTAGAGATAGGAGAAATACTAGCATTTTTGTAATATCGTAAAATATATATATATATATATATATATAAACTGTTTGCCTAGACCGTCTTCGCCTGTGCTACTCCACGCAAAAGTAAAGTGGCAAGTCCATTTCATTTCATCACATATACTTAAAGCTTAAAATAGAACGCGTGCAGCGCAGAGCAACCAGATGGATATTAAAGGAAAGACTGCACGAATCCTCTTACAAAGAACGCTTAATTAAGTTGAATATGTTGCCTCTTTGTTATGACCGAGAGATCAAAGACTTAATATTTTTTTATAACTGTCTGTACGGAATATCGCCTATTGACGTTAACAACTTTGTTAATTTTGTTCCCCACAACCGCACAAGAAACTGTTTTAATCCGGAATTACTGCTGAAAACTCAGTCCTGTAAAACATCTTTATTTAAGGCCTCATATTTTAATAGAATTACAAAACTGTGGAATATTATGTGTAAAGTAGCTCCTCCGTCTTCCTTAGGTACTCTTTCATCCTTTAAGAACTTTGTCACTAATCACTATTTTAATTTATTAGCAAATGTTTTCGATATTGACCAACCGTGTACCTGGTCAGTGTTTATAGACTGTTCCTGCCATAGAACTCATTCGCACTGACTTAAAACTTTGTAATATTTATTTATTTTTTATTCTGTAGGGAGTTTCCTTGCATGGGTACTCACGTCCCGTTCGTTACTCCCTTTTGGCAATTTTTT